ATAAAAAGTAACAACGAATGTAAGATTTGAAATAACACATTCGTTATACGATTTAAACGACACACACCACTTGTAATAGAAATACATGAACGATCATTAAAGTTTAGTGTCAAAACAACATGATCTTTATTGCTTTTCTCTCATTAGTATTACATTCAAACATAAAATGAACAATTTCGTGTGGTATTAATGAGAGATTACATTACCATATGGTCGAATCGTATAAGTAAGGTTATGCCATTCGTAGAATTTACCTGTCTAACTATTTTGCTACACGTTGTCTCATCACCATTCACCATCTCCGTATGCTTCGTTTGTTTCAGTCTTTCATATCCCTTTCTCCCCCTCTCTCATTCTCTCACTCTCTCTCTCACTCTCCTCGTCCTTTGTCCCACCTCCTTCCTTTCCACCCTTCGTCGTGCTTTCCGGCAAGCCACAGGATCGTAAAAGGCTGGAATTTCTGTTGAAACATCTGCAAAGCCGCGCTCTGGGGCATCTGAGCCCCTCTAAAGCTTCATACAAATTCATGACGGAGTACCCTGGCCCGTCTCTCTCACTCTCTCATTCTCATTCACTCTCTCTCTCTCTCTCTCTCTCTCTCTCTTTCTCTTTATTTCTTTCTCTTTCACTCTAATACACGTATACTCATATATCTCTGCTATATATCCCTAAGTTTTCGGCAGATACGCATTGTATACATACATACATACATACATACATACGTATTTCTACGTTAGTTGGTAATATTATTTAAAGCTCAGTTAGAGTCTTCCTATACCTCTCTCTCTCTTTCTCTCTTTCTCTTATTCTCGCATCCTGTATGGAAATCAACTTCCTTTCTCTAAAACATCTAGGATTAATAATTTTCTCAAAAATAATGTCGCTCAATTTTACGTTCGATAAAAATTCTCTGTTTTGTTTTATTTTATTTTATTTTATTCATATTTTTTCTCTTACCTGTATGTGTGTGTGTGAACAGAATACTGTTAAGATACGTTCTAATTACACGTAGAATCATTATTTTATATTGATCTCAAGATATATAATATTTCTTTATCGATCATTTTATGATTAACTTTTTCAATCGTAATTTTTATTTTATATATCCTCTCTCTCACTCAAAATAACTTTTTTAATTTAAATAATTATAGGATTTTTTTGAGAAAAAGAGAAAAGAAAGTAAAGCAATTAAAGAAACGCGAATTGTACAATTAGTAGACATTTTCTATCTTCTTTTTCGAATCCTGTATAAAAATCAATCTTCATTATATAAACACTTAGGATTAATAGTTTTTCTTTCTCCATTTTTTTTTCTTTTTTTAAATAATGTATCTTGATTATTATACGTTTGTTACGAAATTTAGTTTGTTCTTGTTACCTAATTGAGAACAGAACTATGTTTAAAATATGTTCGCCAGTCTGTTTGTTCTTGCTTCTAACTTGAGAACAGAACTATGTTTAAATATGTTTCTCTCTCGGTAACCTACTTATAGATGTATAATCTTTTGTTATCAACTTTACGAAGAACATTTTAATCCAATATAATTCCTATCGTCTTATGAATAATCAACAATTTATATAAACCCTTCTTTTGAAATTGAAAAAATCTGACTCTAAAAAGACAAATATTCATCATATTATTTTCTCACATCCTTCTATGAAAATCTGAAACACACACACACACATCTAGGTAACAATAATAATTTTCTCCAAAATATTACGTTTTAACATTTACAATTATAATATAAGATATATTACAATTTCTTTTTTTTTTTTCCCCCCCATTATATTTTTTTACTCGAGAATAATGTTGTATTAAAATATTATCTAACTATACATATAGAAATACTATTTCTCAAGATATATTAAATCTTTCATTATCAAGTTCTACGATGAGCATTCTAATCCGTGATATATATAATCGTGATTTTCATTGTACCTTTTGAAGAATCGAAGATTCTCAAGACTTTCTTCTATAACTAAAGATTCCGAATAAGAGGAAAGAAAAGCGATGGAAGAAACGTGGATTTAGTAAAAGAACTTTCTCTCTCTCTCTCTCTCTTATTCTTACTCTTTCTTTCTATCTATCTTTCTATGCGGAATGACGAAGTAATCTTCTAGAATCACAGAACATTAAAAGCGCCACTGATCTGCCTCCATTTCTTCCTATTCCCAAGACTAACATTCGTTCGATCTACAGAGCTTCTACCCGATGTAATTTTCTTTCAATGACGTTCGCTACCTCTTTCTTTCTTTTTTCTTTCTTCTTCTTCTTCTTTTTCTTTCTATTTTCTGATAAAGAAAGAGAAAGAAAGAGAGAGAGAGAGAGAGAAGAAAAGATTTCCCGTTGATTGGGATTCGTTCAACATTATTATTCTTCCGTTATCAAGTTTGATATAACGAATCCTCGATTTATTTCTGATCGTTCGGATGAAATATTCTCCCATTTTTTTTTTTTTCTTAATTTCCCTCTCTCTCTCTCTCTCTCTCTCTCTCTCTCTCTCCTAGAATAACTCCGTCGATTATAAATATTGTTCGTGGGTATCAATCCTCTTTCCTATTTCCTTTTTTTTCCTTTTCCTTTCGTGACCGATCGTCGAACTTTTTCCTCGATTTGCATCGTTCCGAAAGAGAGAGAGAAAAAAAAAGAAAAAGAAAAAAAAAAGAGTTTATAGGAGGACGCGTTATTTAAACGGTTTGGCTCTATATACGATAGTAGGACACCGGAATACATTAATATTGGATGAGGGAATCTCGAAATGAGCTCGTATCGAGAGTCGATACGGTCGTTATCAAAAACTCGTTACCAATATTTTATCCTTGATATTACTTCAGTAAGCTACGGAGACACGTGTGTTCTACTCCTCCTCTTCTAACACAGCTACTACCCCTATCCACCACCCCTAACACCCTTCCCAGTCCCATTCCCCCATCTCTTTTGCATTTTCTTATTTCGATCAACATCGATGTTATACCATTATCGATTATTATATTATGTTTTCACTTTTTTTTTTATTTAATAGTGATTTTTTTCATCCTCGAATATTTAAAATAACATAATATTTGATATACTACTACTACTACTGTATATATACTTTTATTTTATAGTATTTCTCATATTATAATTGTTTTATATGTATATCGTATTTGTTTATCATTGAAATAAATATAATAGTATTCAAATAATTATATTAAAAGTACTTTGCGTTATAAAATATTTCATAATTTTCTAATCGAATTTTTTAACAATGAATTTTTGGAACTCGTTATCAATGACAATGTTATTGAATATCGGATGAAATTTTATAATTGTTTATTACTATAATTAATTTGAAGGATCAATCGAGAAGCTTTCGCATCAATCGCAAAAATCCTTTCTCTCTCTCTCTCTCTCTCTGGCAAAGATTATTTTATCAAATATTTTAATTACTGCGAGACACAATGAGCAAAGCTGGGATTAAGTAATGACATTGATGAAAGTAGACAATAAATTGATCATTTTCTAATAATAATTCGATTCTTTTTTAATCGATACATTTTATATAATACATCGAATAGATCGTTTATAACTATAACATGAATTTTTTTATAATCCGCTATGATGAAAAATTATATTACCTACGAACTACCTAATAAAATATACCAACACACCCTCTTTTTTTCTTGTATCCTTAACGAAACTCTAATATTAGGGAGACCCAATATTGCTGGCCAAGAAATTTTACAGATACATATATCAAGCAACCCTTGGAATAGGGTTTGATTTCATTAAATAATTTCTTATTTATTTCGTATTTATATTATCTAGAAGATTTTAAATAAATACATACATACAATAATACATACATCTGAAGAAGAAAAAAGAAGCAAGATTAAAGTATATTTTATTATATTTTTAATGAAATAATTAATTCAAACAAAACTAGCAGAAATGAGATATGAAAAGTGAAAAAAAAAAAAAAAAAAAAGGCGTATCAACTTGTTCCCAGGTTCTCTCCCAGATGTATTAAGTTAATGAAATTTTCGTTAGAAACTTTTGCGCAAATGTTCAAGTTCGTAATTTGCATATTAACTCTTTTATGAGATCATAAAAAATATACAAAAAAAAAAAAAAAGAAAAAGAAAAACTATACATGAAAGGTTCGTTTCACAAGTTATCGCGATATCGATCATTCCAACGAGCAACCGCAAACAGTTTCGTCTAACTGCAGGTACTACTATTACTACTACTATTACTACTACTACTACTATTACTACTTGCAGTTACTACTCGTCATTGTAACGAGTATGTTCTACTTATCTCTCTGTCTCTTTCTCTTTTTCTCATTGTTACTTTGCTTCCTCAAGATCGTAAGAAGGTAGAGAAAGTTTTCTCGTAAATCGTCCCTTGATGCAGTACCGGCACGAAGCCGATTTATTTGACGTTCCCTTTACTCCTTTCACCACTAATGATCCTAAAATGGCGATCACGCAACCATTTTGTAACTCGCTTTCAGAGAAATCATTAAAACGACGAATTGTAACTACGTTAAATTATCAGTTAAATAATTTACTAGCTAGTAATATAATCACAAATATCTTATACAGATATAAAATAATAAAATATATATATCAACTTGAGATAAAACTCATATCTAATTACAAATTTTATAATGACAGGGTTAAAAAAAATAATACAGTTTTATGAAATATACTTTTTAAATAATACAAAGTGTGAGTTAATCCAATTAGTAATGTTGGAATATTGTAAATATGTTACATACTTTTTATATTATATTAAGATATTATATCAATTTATTTATATATATACTAATATAGAATAATAATAATTATTTGAAAATTAATTATATTAAGCTGTATATCATTTTCTAATCGTATTTAAGAAAAAATTTGTCACTTTTATAACAATTTATATTGCATATATTAAATCATACGATAATTAGGTGGTTGAAACGATCAAACAAACGATCAAACCAATAAATTTCTGTATCTGATTTTAGTACCGAAATACGATGGCGAGCAATTAAATTTGACGAGGATTACACGCAATGAAATGGGAGCATATCTATGTATAGCAAGCAATGGCGTGCCACCAACAGTCAGCAAAAGGATCACCGTTGATGTTGAATGTAAGTCGCTGATGATTCCCTATTAAATTCGATATTCAAATAGAAGAAACAAATATCATATATCATTTCAAATATAATGATTTAAAAGGATACCAAATATTGAATGCAATCTGTTGGATAGAATTTATATTATAATCATTTCGTATTTACCGATGCTAAATTTATAATATACATTGCATCCTAAGTTTTATATATTATCCTTAAAATCATCACTTACAATTATTATATATCACAAAAAAATTTATCTCATCAATCGTTTGATTTTTTTTTTATTTATATTATTCTCGTTTAAAAAAAATATACAGTTGTTCTTTTTTCCACAAATTATTTTTACGATACGGCTATAATTGATTCTCTCTATTTTATATTAAAAACAAAAAATAAGAAAAAAACTTAATATTCTTAAATGTCTTATAAAAATAATTTGATAAAATCAATTACAATCTTAAATATATATATATTAGTTATTTAGGTCGGTATAATATTTTATAAATCCAATAAATAATATTAAAAGAAAACTTAAATGAGTCTATAATAGCATTCGAATGAAATTTAATACATAAAGATTTTTGTTATATTCTTCAATATCAACTTTCTCTAACATTTTACGAAGAGATGTAATGATGGTGCAACACACACACACACACAGAAGCATTGAAGTAATTCATCGGAAAAACTTCATCGAAAGAAAGTTTCTTTTCTTGGTTATCACAAGCACACAGAGACGTAAAGAAAGAGAAAAAGAAAGAGAAAAACTAAAAGGTCTGAATATTAAAGGGAAAAGAATGGATGAATAAGATGAAGATTTCCAATGGCAGACAATGAAAAGGAATGCATCGAATGTAAATGCATGACGTGAGATACGATAGGGGAACGATTGTGAACCTGTTGATTCTTAAACTTTTCTTTCAATAGGATATGAAAGTAAATGACGAAAAGGAGAATACGATTACTTCCAAAAAACACAAATATATTAATTATTAGAAAACGAAAACGAATTTACGATATAAATTTCATAAGACCGCGAAACAAATGATTAATTTGTAATTTAATATAAAATAATTTGAAGAAAAATCATAGTTCATATATTCCACACAAACAAAAATTCATCTTTCACAAACTAATATTATTTTAATCTAACTAAAAATACAAACTTACTTACTATCTAAAGATATTTCATTTTACATAAATCGAATAAAACTTTTTGACAAAAAAAGAAAAAGAATAATAATGAAACGAATAAATACATATTGTTTAAATTTCATTCGACGAATAACGAAGATAAAGAAGTATCAGAAAAAGTATCAGCAAGTAGATTTCCTTCGTCGTAGGCTGTGGTGAATAGTTGGTGTAGTTGGTGGTAGTGTTGGTGGTGGTAATGGTGAATCGTGAAAAGAGGGGTGAAGGGAAACGGTGACGTTGGAAATGCCCGAGGGAAATACGGGGATCCTTGCACAAGCGTCCCTCTGCTTCTGCTCATTTTTCCCTTTTATGCGTTCCATTCGTTCGTGTCACTTCCTATGCTTGCACTCGCTTTGTGGTCGTGTATCTTTACATTTACTCCACATACGTGTGCACATACATATACGTGAAAATGGACAATGTATATTGGTACATACATATATATGTACATATATATATATATTCTTTCTCGTCTTTTTCTTTACCTGTTAAAGTAAAGAAAAGATGGTAGGCGAAAGCACAAGTCGACTTTATTCGTAGAATATTTAGATGGGACGAAATATATTTTATTTAAAGGACCAACGTGGAAACAATGCTTTGCTTCGAAACACGAAATTCGCGACGAAAGTCTTACCAATGTTATGTTATGCTTACGTATCACCAAACTCTATTTTTTTATTTCTACAAAAAAAATTTCTTCTTTTTTTTTCTTTTTTTCTTTTTTTCCTTTTCTAATTCAATCATTTTTGTTTCAATTAGATGGAAACATTACACGAATCGACCAGTGGCTATATATAGCGTAATATTAACGAGATTAATTATAACTTATTACGATTGAAAGAAAAATTGACAAAAAATTATATAACTAAAAGATTATCCCTTTAAATATTATATGTATGTGCTTGAATTCTTATATAAACTGTTTTAAAATAATAATAATATATATATAATATCCTTTGCGATAAGATTGTGGCCAATGCTTTGCTTTGCTTTGCTTTGAAACTATATAGTTAGGCAACTTATAGCTGTAAACTCTGAATTCGCGTTGAAAGTCTTATCAGTGTTATGTTATGTTAGGTTTACAGAGCAAACACTACCCTCTATTTTTTCTCTTTGAATTCGATGTTTTATCAGGAATAATATTTTAATATTTTGTTAAAGCACACACACACACACACACGAGCACCTTCTATACTGAACTCTCTTTTGATTTCATCAAACAAATCTTTTTTTAGCGAACAATTTTGTTGCAACTCGTTAACATGCACATGCACATGCACCCATCTTTTGTGTTACGTAAGACTACCAGTTTGTTTTTTCTTAAGAAGAAAATTTGGCTTTGATGATGATGTGTTTTGGGACTTTCGTTTAAAAGGATGTGCATTAGAAGTTTTAAAATAATATAATAACTTTGGCAAATAATAAAGTTGGATGGTAACCCCTTCAATAATGAGAAAAAAATAATGACGAAATTTACTTCGAGCGTATAAGACTCTTTTACGTTCTTAGCCGACTCTCGTACGTTGAGCGGTGCACTCGGCCAGTTAATCTACTTAATTAAAAATAAACACTGACGTTGTTCACAGCAGAGAGAAAGAGAAATCCCTCCCTCGGTCCGAACCTCTTATTCGAATTCATACGCTTTTATCATAAAGCAAACGAAGAAACTCTAATGTATTTTCTCCTATTACTAATAAGCTTATTTTGAGAAAACATTGAAAAAACAGATAAGATCCTGGGCTTTTATCTCCATTAGGTAAAATAACAATTTATATTATTTTACAACTAAATATTTTAATTAAAAGGCACGACTGCGTATAGTACAATTCGCAAGAATCCAAAATATTATATTTCGTTTATTCAAATGAATATATATATTATGCAAAAGAGATCATTTTTATACCGAACACAGTGATCTAATATATTTGTTCTCTCGAATCTAATTACAATGCAAGAAAAAAATGAAAAATTATATAATATAATCTAATCTAATCTCAAAAAGGTTTCTTTTTTTTTCTTTTTAAATTAAACTCAACATCAATAAATGTATTATATTTCTAACACTTGTAAACTCTTTTAATTGGTAATTAACAAAAGCAACTAATCTATAAACCATAATTAACGATTTAACGAGACACCGAATGAACGGATGAGTTACATTCTCTACACAAAAGTATATCAAGCATTTCCATTGGGTCCTATATATCAAGTACTGCGGATACTATTGCTATACTATGCGTTCAGCTTTCCCACAAATCCACAAATTGCTGGTGCTGACCCCTAATTAACGCATACTTCCCCTCGATTTTACGGTAGAAACATCGAGTCAGTCCTCTTCCTCTTTCTCCTTAGTCCACTACTAATAGCCACTTCTCAACTGTACCCCAACACCTTTTCACCCAACGTTGTCTCCATTCGTTTCAACCACTCGAGCTACTTCTTCTTCATGTACTCTAGACAGAGTTTCCAACGAGTCGTTAGTTAGACCTAAATTAATCTAAGACTAAGGTACTTCTATTCCTTCTGCTGTATGTTTCACCAGGGAAAACGTTCCTTTCTCTTGCTGAAGCTTAAATTTATCCTCTAACGAAGAGAAAACGAATGAACTAAGGAAAAAGACACCAGGAAGAACAATCGTTGGAACTATAACGAATTATTTCTAAAATTATATATCTACTTACATAACCACCCTACCGAAAACTAATTATAACGTTAATATAATAAAGATTTTTTTTCTTATCCAAAATTTTGTTAATATTATTACTAAGTTTACTTCTTAGGGAAGTTTTTTTTTGGACAGGTTTAATTTAGATGAACAATACATTTATCCGTTGAACGTTTCGTCTCTATTTGAGACTTCCTCAGCAACTTGATAGTTATGTTCATAAGTCAATATAACATCATTTTTATTACAGTCATAAGTTTTCACTATCTTATATATAGAGTCAATTTTTAAAAACGTTATCCTACCATAACTTTTCGAACACTAATTATAACATATCTTTTTTTTTTTTCCTTACTATAGAGGGTAATAACCTCTTTTAAATCATTTCAAATACAATTGTATGTATACTTTGATTTGTTGCAATGAAAATTATTCCCACGAATCAATTCCGATCAATTTTTCCATGATAAATCAATCCTGGTTTTGTATCTCTTTTTTCTATTTTTTTTTTCTTTTTTTTCTATTTTAAAATACGAATCTCCAATTAGGGCGTTAACGTTAAAAATTTACACGCAAAAATGTATATAATTTGTCAGCACGGTGAAACAACTTTTCGACCAAAAACCCACCCACCCTCCTCCCTGTTTATTTTAACTACGTGAAATTTTTAATAATTACAATAGCATCAACTGTGTCGCTTAATCTTAAACGAGTTGATATTTTTCCAAGAAAAATGAAACAACACTAGCGTTCTATTCATTGGACAATCTAATTATGAAAATGGCATTTCCTTTATTACAACGATGCATCAAAGGAAAACCTTTCTAAACTTTCCAGTACCCATTTTCCCCAAAGTCTAATGTCTCTGGAAAAATAAACGTGAAAGAAAAAGAAGTAAATAGAAGAGAAGAAAAAAAAAAAAAAAACAAAGGAAAGGATCGAAGGAAATCGCTGTTGTTGAATATCGTTTGGAAAAAAATAAAAAAAAATAAAAAAAAGGGAAATGTGAAAGGTCACTTCCATCTTCTGACTTTTTTCCACAGTTGCATTGAGATAGTATAAGAAAGAGAAAGAAGAAGAAGAAGAAAGTATCTATGCGACATCCCTACCCCCCTTCGACTTTAACTCGAGCATGTTCGCAATCCTAGTCTCGAGCAAACGATAATTGACTTTGTTTCTAACTCGTTTTCCAACTATGGAGTATCTCGTACTAAAAGTAGTCCTGAAAAGTACAAACCTGATGTTCTTGTGTACATCTACATCTACAATTTAATAATGTTACTCTCCCACCATTGTTAGATCAAAAAAAAATCTCCCTGAAAAAAAAGAAATAAAATTAGAACGATAGGAAAAAATATGAATCGTTAAAATATCGTCAAACGATTATGAGATAAATATTTCATATTTCCTATTTATACTTGAGATAGAAAATATTTGTTGTTAATTAGTTATATTTTTTATAATACAGTTTCACCAATGATCTTCGTACCAAATCAATTGGTCGGTGCACCAGCTGGTACCAACGTGACAATCGATTGTCACACTGAAGCATTTCCTCGAGCAATGAGTTATTGGTTTCAAGGAGAGGAAATGATACTTTCCAATGAGAAATACACGACCAGTATAATGGAAAATAGCTACAGGGCTCATATGAAATTACATATAAAGAATCTTCAAGCTGGCGATTTTGGAAATTATCGATGCATCAGTAAAAATTCCTTAGGAGAGACCGAAGGTTCTATCAGGCTTTATGGTAAGTTTCCTTTTTTTTTTTATTATTTTTTTTTTTTAATACTATTGTGCCACAGTTACATGCAATATCTCGTAGAATTTTTTCTATAAAAATATTAATCAAAGTACACGCAAAATAGTTAACTTTGTATAGAAATAAAATGACAAACCCATAGATAGAACAATTGTTATCTTTAAATTAAATCTCTAATCAATTTTTCCAAATCATTCGTTTTCAACATAATTTTCATATTATTCAAAACAAAATAAAAGTTTCGATATACTTAATACTTTAGAAAAATTCAATTGAATTTTGTGAAAATATGTGACTTAACAATCGATGATTACTTTTTCTAGAAATTCCTAAACCATCGGCGCCACCCAAAGCAACGGAGATCAAGAGCAGCGCCAACAAAGAAGGTGAGAAGTCTCTCAATAATTAATAATAATCGTTCATATTTTTGCCGCGTATATATATTATTTAATCAAATTTTTTTTTATATATATATATAAATTAAAAATAAATGAGTTTTAAAAACAAGAGAGAAAAGAAACAAAAATAAAAATGGAAAATAATTTTACAAATAGATTAACACGTTGATATAGAAAAAACAAATATCGATAATTCCAATTCTAATTCCTCGTGACGACTGATTGATTGAGAGGGTGGAGAGGGAAAGGCGTTAAAATCGTAAATCACGTCTCGATGGATAAATTAATCGACTTATCCGTTTTCGTAGCCCAAACACTCGTCCATTGTTCTTAATGCAAGAAGACATAGCGTTGAAAGGTATGGAAGGAAGGGGTGGAATAGATGGCCCAAGGCACTGTAGAATCTTTTCAAAGTGATCTTTATATTAGTCATAGCGGTGCACTATGCACACTGGGAGTTGTATTATTAAAGCATCGCGAATAAGTTGGGCGGATGCCTAGGTCAGGTCCCAGTGGTTCTGCCCTCGGTTCTGCCCTCGGTTCTGCCCTCAGTTCTGCCCTCGGTTCTCTCTCTCTCTCTCTCTTACTCTTATATACCTCACTATAGGGTACCTTCTTTCTCTTGCTTCTCTACCATCTCTCGGTCTCACGAAACCAATCTCAATATACTGCATTATTAACGCCATACAAGGCACAGTCACGACGGTATTACCACCATTAAGCTTTACAATTTTACCGCATACCCGCGTGCACCACTATTTCTATTAACCCCCTTACCCCCCCTCAACCAACCCCTCATCTCCTTCTCCGCCTCTTTTTATATTAAGGTTCAACGGTACGCGGATTATTGTTACACATCCTTCTCTTTCTTCTCCTTCTCCTTCTCCTTCTCTCTCTCTCTCTCTCTCTCTCTCTCTCTCTCTTTTTTATTTATTCACGGTGTTTCTAATAAATGATTATTATTGCCTTTTGGAATGCTTAATTATTATTGATCAATATCTCCCTAATCGAAAATTTGATTTTATATATAATACGAAAAATCAGGTATCATGATTTGAATTCGTTAATACTATTTTTATTTCTCTTTGATTCTCTCAGTCTCTCGAATATAATTGAATATTTTTAACGAACCTTTATTTGCCGTCGCATTTTTAGATTTCTTTTTGTTAATTGATCGAGGATGGTGTCATTAAAGAAAATTTTTCTTCATTTAAAAAAAAAAACTTTAATACCTATACTACGACGTACAGAATAGGTTATAGTTAAATTCTTAAGTAGGTGTATTCGTTTCTCTCGGTTATTCTTTCATTCTTTCTTTGTTTCTTTCTCAAGCAGAAAATAGGAAAAAGTAAAAATGAGATACGATCCTTTCCATCTTTCTTTATAAAACAAGAGGAGAGGTCGTCGTCGTGCTTGACGTAAAATAACTTACTCTCTTTCTCACCCCTGTCCACCCCCCCCCGCCCCTATCTCTCTCTTTCACCGGTGATAACGGCAGCTACGTCACTATTTATTTTATAATCTTATTATGGCACGCGACTCTCGTGATATAAAACTTTGAAATGACACCAGAGAAATTGTGCGTGTCCACAGAAAAAAACTCATTACGAGAAATGTTTCTACTACGTTTCGCGTATCCTTTCTATGAAACGCGGCATTCGTTGAAATTCCCACCACCACAACCCACCCCCCTCCTCCTCTTTCTCTCTCTCTCGCATTTTTAGTCGAAGCAACCCGTTGGATAAATAAAAATTGTTCACTCGGGAACGAATTAAATTCGAAACGAATTAATATACGGTGTGCTTCGTTAAGAGGGAATATTACGAGGTTCGAACGTCGCGCCAATACGTCACGTTTAACGAACCCTCATCGACATATTCATTCGTTTTCCCGATTCTCACTCACTAACTCTCTCTCTCTCTCTCTCTCTCTCTCTCTCTCACTTCTACCTTAATAGATATTTATTTCCACTCGATAATTGGCACGAGATTAATGGCGTAATAATTGCGCGAGTATTTGTCGGTAGAACGTACGTGACACAAAATCGAAGGGAATACGCGACGAACTCTCCAGAGAAATAATGCAAAAGAGAGAGAGAGAGAGAGAGAGAGAGAGAGAGAGAGAGAGAGAGAGAGAGACAGAGATGGATAGGTGTGAATAGATCGATAGATAGATAGATAAATAGATATACCAAATACTATAATAATAATAATTGATAGACGAGATATAAACGAAGATTGTAAAACAGGATAGAATATCAGGTACTTTAACAAGATAATCTCTCGAGGGTATAATATTATAACAAAGAAAGAAGCACACCGATCGTGAATAGTTAAAAGAATCCCGTTGTTCATTTTAAATACACCAGCAAAGCGGCTAATTCTTTCTCTCGACGTTAAGAGTTAACGATCGCGTTCCCTTTCCCTTTTTCAACCCTAATCCCTCTTTTCTTTCTCTCGCCCTAGCACAAAAATGAAAGTTTAATTGGTTTTTGAGTTACCCTGTCTCACAATCAGCCCCCCTTTCTCCTCCTCCTTCTCCTTCTTCTCCTCACCTTTTCTCTCGTACTCGCAAGCAAGACAAGCGGACGACCGGTCACGGACAGTGAGAAGGAAACGTCGAAAGTCGACACAAAAGATTTTAATTTTATATCGTGACATTACATTGGCGGCTGGCTTAACCGGTGACCTAATTAAGCGCATTTAAAATTCAATTACCGCGCACCGCTTGCGAATACAGCAATAGAAGAGAGAGAGAGAGAGAGAGAGAGAGAGAGAGTGAGGGAGGTGTGTGAAAAAAGAAAGAAGAATTAAAAGAAAAGGAAGAGGAAAAGGAAAGGAAAGAGGAAAAAGAAAATAACAAAAATACTCACGAAAAGAATAGAGAAATAATAGAGAATTGTTAAAGCGATTTATAAACCGAAAAACTATAAAAGAATTGTTTTCCTTGCGCAAAAGGAAGAATCTTTAATTATAAACATCGATAAAAGGAATCAAACGGAAAAGAACACGAATGATAAAATTCATATCCTTTCTATAAAACATTATAAATGCTCGATTAACCAGCAATCTCTATTACTTTTATCCTATCGAAAATATAAATGAAAATTCAAAGAGAGAGGGTGTTGTGGGAGTGGAAAGGGAGAGGGAGAGGGGGAAAGTCGATACTCTTTTTTACCACGAATATGATCGAATATTCTCTCGCGAGACGACGAATAAGAAAAAATAATGAAAGACATGAAGAAAGAAAGAAGGAAAGAAGGAAGGAAGGAAGGAAGGAACGAGAAGAAAGAGTATTTCACGGCGTTGGAATTATTCAGTAGGGAAGTCTTCTATAGGAAAGAAAAGAATAGAAAAGAAAGAAATAAAGAGAAAGAGAAAGAGATGGTTAGACGATCGACAGAGGTATTTGTTATTCGAGTCTCGAAATATCCCTTTTTCTGTAGTATACTACAATATCGGTGGCACGGCTTTATGGATCCATAAAGGGACGGAAAGTAACAGCAATGGCAGCAACACCACCCCTTATCCCTACTCCTATTCTAACCCCTACCCCTACATCTACCCCTTTTCCTTCAACCTAACTCACCAATATCACTATCAGCGGTATCCCACCCTCCTCCTCCTACCCCTACCCCCTTCCCAGTAGCAAGAGTCTTGTTGAAAGTTAGATATTTCACGAGCTCGTTCGATTCTTCTTCAAACTGGATCGATTTCGCTTAACGTAGATGAATTTACTCGTCCCTAGATCCAACCTGCCTAATTCCCAACGTGCTTTCAACACGATAAAGATAGATAGATATGATAGAGAGAGAGAGAGAGAGAGAGAGAG